GGGATCAGATCGGGTACAATTCCCACACTGTGTCTCTGGTGTTGTCCCCTGTAGGGCTATGGGTCAGTGAGGGACGTCATGTTTCATAGTGGGGTCGGCCTGGAGGGTTTTTTTTCATAGAGCAATTTTATTTTATCTATCTGTTTGTCTATCTATATACCTACTTATCTGTTTATTTTTTTATTTAGTTTTTTCCTGTTAATCTGAACCCCCCCTTTTTTGGTGCCCCTCTCCCATCCCTGCCCTCTCCAAGTCCCCACCCCTGCCCCTGGTCTCCTCGTAGTCATCAAAGTCTTATCTGTTCGGGTAAAAGCCATGTTTAATTTTCTTTGTTATTCCTTATAACAATGGTGATATTAAATATTTTTCTTTGTAAGATTGACTGAGTTTGCTAACCCTAATGTTCTCTAGTTTGGTCCATGTATTGTGGTGTTTAAGAGAGTTATCATTGTTTTTTATTGATTCATGAAATTCCATAATATGAATGTACCAGAGCTTGTTTATCCATCCCTCTACAGTTGGGGCTTTCGATTGTTTCCATGTGTTTGCTACTGTGGATATTGTTGCAGTGAACATAGGCATACGTATGTCCATGTGTGTAATAGTCCTAATTTCTGTAAGATATGCACCCAGCAGAGAGAGATTGCTGGATCATAGGGTTCTTGGGTTTGTATTTGTTTAAGGACATGCCATACGGATTTCCACAATGGTCGTTCAGTTCTACAGTGCCACCGGCAGTGTGAAACCATTCCTATCTCGCCATGTCCTTTCCAGCATTTGGTATTTTCTGTTTTATTGGATTTTGCTAAAAGTGTCGGTGTGAGGTGATATCTCACTGTTGTGTTAATTTAGAGTTCTCGTGATCTCAGACATAAGGGTTGCAGTAAAACATTATGTTACCTGACTCACGGGCATCGAACGAGTCGGTTTTGACTCATAGCCAGCCTGCAGGACGGGTAGAAGGGCCGCTGTGGGTGTCCGAGGCTCTTTATACGTGAATAGAAAGCCTCGCTTTTCTCTCATGGAATGACTGGTTGTTTCAAACTGCTGACCTTACGGTTAGCAACCCTAGGTGTAACTCAGTACTCTTATCAGGCTGCAACAGAAGAAAAACAGAAGAAGCCTGGTTCGCATGGTGCAGGTGCAGGCAGCGTTTTCGTCTCGGGACGCTGGGTTGCCATGAGTGGGAGCCAAATAGACAGTACCCAGCAACACCACATCATCTTGACGACCTCACTGATGGTTTTATCCCACAATGTCCCGGTTCACACATCTGCTTGAGAAGTCACTGCACTCGCGCTCTCCAGATGTTTCTCAGTCGTCCTCCCATCATTCCCTAAGTTGTTCCCGTACATAAATAGATAGTCTGCAGCTTCTTCGTCTGCTCCTCACACGGTGGCAACAAACACAGACAGTGGCTGAAGTCCTTCTCCCAGGACTTGAAAAACAGATCTGTTGTCATTTGTGAGGGTAGGCAAGTTCTGGGCCTCGTTTTTCGCTTCCAATTTTAAGTAGACCGTTACTTTCTGCTTCCTTCTAGAAAATGGTTGTGTATTGTCCCCATCACAGTGTTTCTCTCCCCACAGGTGGAAAACAATCTACCTGTGCAGGGTTGTGTAAAGTTAAGTCTGTTGCTTCCCTGTCACTTAACCCACTGGTGTGGCAGCTCCCGTCTTTGGTTTGATTTTTGGCTCCCTTCCCTTTGTGCTCTCTGAGGCTGCTCTAAGAAAAGAACTTCCTGTGGTTTCCCTTGATGTATGTGAGGATTCTAGACTTGGTGCACATGACCCCACAGACCCTTAAACTGAGGAAGTGTTTAGTAATGATGTGTACCAAGATGTCCCAACCTGACTTACTCAGTGTCTGATGTGCCTAACAGTTCTCCAGGCGCCTATCGGAGGAAATGACCCAGAGAAGATGGGAGAATAAGCCGGTGTCCCAGTCGGTACAAGCAAATAAAGGATCCCAGGTATTTTTATAACTGTTAACATGGGCCCTTCGTTCGGGAAGATTCTTAGTATAGAACGCTTCCAAAACAAAAGAATGATATTCTGATGACTTATTTATTTCCCCGCACTTAATTAGCTTCCTGTTGACACTAGACACTTTGTCAGCATAGCTGACTCCACTCATTGCTTTTTAGTCTCAGAATCCAGAGTGGTGTAGTCTAAATTTGTGTTTGCGCAAGTGGACGAGACTGCCACTCTGGGCAGTGCTGGAATGAACCAGGGGTCTGCAAAAGCTCTATCCAGGATGATGGCTTATAATACACAAGGTTTTCATTGCCAGGGGGTGCTGAGAAAATTTTTTTTTTAATGAAAAAGGGGCCAGTAACCCAAATAAGGTTCCCAAGTGGTCAAAATTAACTGCCAACTATGGATGGACCACTATGTCCCATGCCAAAATGTGAAGTATGATTTTTTCTCTTTGAACCCTGGAGACCCTGTTAAAACCTGGAGAGCTGTGCTATGTAGATCTACAGTAAAAGGTCAGTACGACATTCATTGTGTGTTCGTTGTTTCTGTAATCATCGGAAGCTCAGTCTGTACAGTAAGAAATGCTCCGAGAGGAAGCTGGGCGCAGGTGCATGCCGTTTTCCTTGTGCAGGGGGCCTTTCCCACCATTGAAATTACAGCGTGGCGGGCCAGAAGAGGCGGTTTCCTTCCATTTGTTTTTTTAAAAACGTTCCACTTTGTTTTTCAGCCAGGAAGAATAAGGGCTGTAGGAATTGTAGGCATTGAAAGGAAACTGGAAGAAAAAAGAAAAGAAACGGACAAGAACATTTCTGAGGTAACTCTCCACCGACGCTCAGGCCATTTGTGATGGTGCTTGTTGGTCACAGCTGGGGTCAGTCCCACCTGTCATTTGGGATGCACTGTCACTTACTCACTGCCGCCAGGTTGACTCTCACTCATGGTGACCCGAGGGTGGGACTGTTCCTGCGAGTTTCTGAGACTCTCCCTCTTGACAGGAGTAGAAAGCCTCATCTTTCTCCCACCTCTGTTCTGTCGGGTCCCTGCCAGTCAGAATCGGCTCGATGGCAGGGAGGTGAGTTTGGTTCTCGTTAATGAATTACCATCCAGAGAGCGGCTTCCAAGAACAGCAGTTTGTTGTCTCACAGTTTGGGGGACAGAAGTGCACTACAGGGTATTGGCCGTTCAGATCTCTTTCTGAGGGCTCTGAGAGACGGTCCATGCCTTGCTCATGACCCTTGCAAGGTCCATGATGCCTGTCCTTGTGTCTTTGTGTTTTTCTAAGACTCCATTCAGACGAGATTAGGACTCACCTCACTACAGGGGAACTCGTGTACACCGAACCAATCACATCTGTAAAATATCAAGCCCCAACGAAAACTCACTGACAGCCAGTCGATTCTGACTTAGAGTGATTCTTGTGATCAGAGTAGAACTGCTCCTGTGAATTCCCAAGACTGTAACTCTTTATGAGTCGCAGAAAGCCTCAACTTTCTCCGACCTTGCAGTTAGCCGCCCAACAAGGAACCCACACAGTTCCTTGTAACATCTTCAAAGAAAGAGCCCATTTCCAACTAAGTCATATTCAGGGGCTAATTAAGTACAAGGAACAAGGGTTAGAACTTCACACTCGAAGGAGTGTCACTGCAGCTGTGGGTTGCCATTTTTAGGGATGCAATGTAATCCTCAACACTTTGGCTTCTGTATTTCTTATAAGTTGAAAGATGGAATCAGAGGCTTCGTTAGGTTCACTTGGAAAGACGAGGTGATGCTTTTTCTGTGGACACAACCAGGGTTAAAAGTTGGGGGTAGGGTTGGTAGCAAAAAAAAAATTGTTGGTTGTTTTTTGTTTCATTTTTTTTTTTTAGTGTAACACACCTCATGAGATCACACTGACACTTCATACTTAGATTCAAGGTAACGGTGCCAGATGATTACTAAAGCAGTTAAAAAAAGAATGTTTGCATATGCTCTCTCTCTGCTTCCCACATGATAAGCAGGCGAACTAAATGTTCGTTGTCAGTACAAATCGAAATGTGTGGAGTGTTGTGTGCTTCAGTTTTGAGGACTTGGTTGGCATGTGCTTTGCCCTTAGTGTGAATGTTGGATTCAATTATGTTCAGGGCTGATGACCAGAGGTTCCCACAAAAGGTTTCCTGCATCTGCTGGGTGTTGCTGATAAGAGTCCTGTGTTTAAGCTTTTGTTTATCTGAGGAAATTCCTGTTAGGTGTGTGCACATTCCCCTTTGTTTTCAGTATTCACCCTGGTCAGTCGGCCACAGAATTTTATACAGTACTCTATTCTTCTAGCAAAGTCCTCTTACAGATGGGGGGGGATACATTCCAGCAAGTAGTTAAGATGGACTTATGCTGCTCAGAGCCCGGTGGCCAGTACTCTGTGTACTGAAAGTTTTTTCCATTAAAGACAAAGTGCTGAATCGAGCTTTAAACCTAAGCTGTGTATCTCATAAGATGACAAGATATAGTGACATAAGCTAGTTGGCGCTAAAGGCATACAGCAAGGGCTTCAAAAAAATTCCGTGATCTTTTAATGATCTCCATTTTCCATGAAGGCTTTGAAGCCCCCTCATCTACCTCGTAGTTGGCATAGCTTATTATAAATATGCCAATCTGAAGAGACCTTTGAGGTATCTGCTCATTGGCATAAACTAAACAATTGATAGGTTTTATGTCATTTTTGGCCAGTGTCTGAGTATTTTCCTTTCATGATATCCCCCAGACACCAAACTGCAAGTAGAGTCCCCTCCTATTCAGGGGACTTGGTTTACTACGTCACTCACCGCACACCTGCTACAAAAGCCTCCCTTGTGCCCAAAGGAGGGTCGCTGCAGCTGCGGGTTGCCGTTTCAGTCAGGAAAGCCGGGCAGTGCCTCTGCCTCCTGACTTCCTGTCAGGAAATGGTGTGGGGAAAAGCCAATGTCAAGTTCCTTACTCGTGTCAACGAACAGCCCATCAGGCTTCCTGAGCTATCACCAATGTGACTTTTACTCATTCGGTCGACAACAACTGTTTTCTCTGAGAACATTGAATGGCTCGGTTGGTTGGTTGCAGTTTGCTGTAGAGAACTTACCAAGGGAATGATTAGCATGTGCTAGGGTGACAACTTGGTGAGGAGCCCTGGCTGTACGGCGGTTTAATCCTGGGCTGACCATGGAAAGAACTTCGGCACTTTGAGCCCACGTGCTGCACCTCAGGGGCAAAGACCAGGTGACTCTGCTCCTATAAAGATTACAGCGCCACTACGAGTCAAAATCAGCACAACCACACCTACCACCAACAGTACTTGGATAGGTTTTTATATAAATAAATTGGTACTTAGAAGAAAGTGCCATACATTTGTACCACAGGGGATAAAGCAGAGTGCATCGTTGCGAAGGGAGCCCAACAGAGCAGTAAGGGGAACAAAGCAAAGAAGTTCCCAAGGAATCCCGAAGGTAGACTTCTGACTCGGGGTGGGGGGCAGGGCTTGGCATCTTATCAGATCTGATCGGCAAACATTGATAAGGGTCAGCAGACAGGCCTGGAACTATTTATAGGCTACTGTTTTCTCACTCTTTTTTCTATATCTATATAAGATAAGGAGGATAAACAATCCCGAGGAGAAAACAATGGGACTGACAGTTCCAGGGGGACATGGGAGAAGGGGAGGCGAGGGAAAAAGGAGGGAGGAGCCAACAAATTCAGGGACAAGGGAACAACATGAGATCTATAATCGATGGTGAGGAGGGTGTAGAATGCCTGCTGGGATTTGATCAAGTGCAATGTAGCCAAGAGGAAGTAGGGATAGCCGAATGAAGGTCGAACATGATAGTGGGACAGGAGGTAAGTAAAAGGAAATAGAGGAAAGAATTAGGAGGCAAAAGACATTTATAGAGTTATAAATAGAGGCATGTCCATTTGTAAATATAATAATATATAGCAATAGGGATATAGGTCTATGTACATATATTTATGTTAAGTGTTAAGGTAGGAACAGACATTGGGCCTCTACTTGAGCCCTCCATCAAGACAAGAACACTTTGTTCCAATAACCTGGCATTCTGTGATGCTCACCTTCCTGACACGATCTCTGAAGACAAAATGGGTTCATAAGCAAATGTGGTGAAAAAAGCTGATGGTTTCCGGCTGTTAGAAGACATAGTATCTGGGGTCTAGGCACTTGAAGTTAAACAAGGGACCATCTAGCAACAAAGCCCACGTGAAAGAAGTGCACCAGCCTGTGTGCTCACAAGGTGTCGATGAGATCAGGTATCAGGCATGAAAACACCCAAAACAAACAATCATATTGATGTGAACAAGAAGGATCAGAGTGGTGCCCGGAGAAACCAGCTCCTAGCACAATCACTACGGGTTCGGTAGGCACAATAGTACAGCGATAATAAGTAAAGATTATAGTAAAGTTATAGAGAGCATGAGAGATAAAAGAGATACATAGAAATAAATGGAGTCAGACACACTTCATGGTAGCTTTGCTCACCTCAGCCCCTCTGATAGTCCACGTAGAGGGAGAGAGAGGAGAAGGAGGAAGAGAAAGGGAACAAGGGAGAGAGGACAGGAGAGGAGAGGGGGAAGAGAGGGGAACTTTAATGCTTCCCAAGCTTTTATCCTCTCTGGTGACGTGAAGGCCCCCTCATTACAGGTGGAGGCATAGTCACAGGAAAGGGTTGTGCTATAGGTATTACAGTAATGGGAGGAGGTAGGGTGATCTAGGGGGTCTCCATAGGAACCATTATCAGTAGGGTGAAAACTCCGCCTATAGGAACCAAGCTAATGGTCGTAAGCTTAATCCATTGTCTCCAGCAGCAGGGAGCAGGCCCACCCCTGTGGTGGGACAAGACAGCAGTCTGGCAGCAATCACAAGGATCTGACCTCCCACAGAGTGGAAACCCAAAATCGATCTGTAGACAATTGGACATCTCACAGAAGGGGCACAAGATAGGAACGATTCAGCTAAGGTGTAGTATAGCACCAATGAAATATACATCATTCCTCTAGTTCTTTTTATTTATTCATCATTTTATTGGGGGCTCTTATAGCCCTTATCACAATCCATACGTTCATCCTTTGTGTCAAGCACATTTGTACATATGTTGCCATCATCATTTTTGAAACATTTTCTTTCTACTTGAGCCCTTGGTATCAGCTCCTCATTTTTAATTTCTGTAGTTCTTAAATGCTTCCTCCCCCCACTATCATGACCCAGTTCTACCTTACAAATCTGGCTAGACCAGAACATGTACACTGGTACACATAAGAGCTCTGGACACATGGAATCCCGGACAGATAAACCCTTCAGGAACAGTAATGGGAGTAGCAATACCATGAGGGTAGGGCAAGTTGGGGGGAGAAGGAAGAGAAAGGAGGAACCAATCGCAACGATCAACGTATAATCCCACCTCTCCCCAATGGGTAAAGGGAGAAAGCAGAAGGTGTAAGATATAAAAGTAACAATAATGTATAATTTATCAAGGGTTTACGAGGGTGGGATGGTGGGGGAGGGAGGGAAAAAAGAGAAGCTGATACCAAGGGCTTAAGTAGAAAGAAAATGTTTTGAAAATGATGATGGCAACATATGTACAAATGTGCTTAATATAATTGATGTATGGATTATTAAAAGAGCTGTAAGAAACCCTAATAAAATGATTTTAAAAAGAAAGAAAATATTTCAGTCCTTAAGGCCACTGCTAACAAAAACTCCTTTCTCATTTCAGGCCTTTGAAGACCTCAGCAAGCTCATGATCAAGGTATATGTCTGTCTATACTCCTTCTAATTATGATCCAGTTTTGAACATAGATTTGGTTAGCACACTTTGGGGACAAAGTTCTCTTAAAAAGATCTTTTGTTTTCTTTTCTTGACAGGCTAAGGAAATGGTGGAGTTATCAAAATCAATCGCTAATAAAATTAAAGACAAACAGGGGGACATCACAGAAGATGAGGTAAATTGGGTTGCTTTCGTGAGCCTTGAAAAACTGATGACCCATACAACACAACAGTGTTTCGCTAGTTTGCCTGTTTTCTTTCTTAGTGTGATAAATGCATTTTCCTTCTTCCAGTGCTAACGCCAGAGTCAAATGTACAAGCTCTGTTTGCTCTCGGAGGGTGTAGGTTACTTCCGCCCTGTCCTGGAGGAGTACAGGAACAGATAATGTGTACGGAGCTGTGGCTGTTGTACACGCATCTATAGGTTCTGATACTTCTCATTCGGTGTCTTCAGTTGGGCTGTATCACTTGGTTGGCATAACATGTAGCACAGCTGTTAAACTAAGTCTCTGGCACCAAACGTGGTGCAAATGGTGGATGCCATACCAAGACAGTTGTTGTTAGGTGCCATCGAGTCGGTTCTGACCCACCATGGCCCTGTGCACAACGACACGAAATACAGAAGGGTCCTGCACCATCCTCACCATTGGTCCTGTGCCAGAGCTCACTGATGGAGCCAGTGTCCATCCATCTCATTGAGGGCCTTGCTCCTTTTTGCGGCCCCTCCACTTTGCCGAACTTGATGTCCTTCTCCAGGGACTTGTCACTCCTGACAAGATGTCCAGTCTATAAGACGAAGTGTTGCCATCCTTGCCTCTTGGGAGTGCTGTGGTCACACTCCTCCCAAGAAAGATGTGCTTGGTCTTTGAGCAGTCCACGGTACTTTCAGGATTCTCCTCCAGCTCCACAGTTCAAGTGCATCGATTTTTCTATGCCACGCCCCTGTTCATTGCCCAAATTTCACATGCGTATGATGCCAAGATAGAAGGAAGGAAGTCATTAGATTTATGCAAGGAACTATTAGAAGTCTGCTTCCTTCATAGTGCACAGCATAGGAACATAGAAGAAATGGGCAAATATAGAATTGAATTTTTGATGGGTTTGAAATGTTGGGGTCGGGGAGAATTTAATTCTTCTGCCTCTTCTTGTGTCTCATCTCCTCTTTCTTAGACCATCCAGTTCAAATCCTACCTGCTGAGCATGGGAATCGCTAACCCAGTGACCAGAGAAACCTACGGCTCAGGCACGCAGTACCACATGCAGCTGGCCAAACAGCTGGTTGGAATATTGCAGGTGCCTTTAGAGGTAAGAACTTAACCTTGCAATTGTTCTTTCACTGCAGTGTTAAATTGTTTTACTGTCATCAGAAATGTTAACAAGGGCATAATGCTTTATCTCAGTGCACTTAGTGCTCAAACGACGTGCTAATATTTCTTCCAGCTATGTTCAATTAGTTTAGTGTACTTACTATTATTATTTTTGGGGGGGGTCTGTAAGTCTGAGGAGTTTTCAACCTCCTTTTGATTTGAGGCAGCTGTAAATTCCTGTCATGACTTTTGGGCAGCTGTTGCTCATATCCTCCCCTCTGTTCTGGTGTTATGGTTTAGTTCATAGGCCGGTCTATTACCTGGCTGAAAGGTGACCTCTGAGAGTGGCTTCAGTTCCAGGTGAAAACGGGTCTTAGGGCAATAGTCTCGGGGGTTCCTCCAGTCTCTTCCTGGCTAATTTGAATCTTGCTTGCATGTTCTCTCATTCGAACTGGGGCCTGGTCGGAGAGGTAGGTAGTGGGAGCTGCCACCGTCTCATTTCAGTGGCTCGCCTGGGCCACCAGTCCTGTGGAGTGGTCGCCTCGATGGGTCTTCAGTGTCCTTCACTTGCCTCTTCTTCAGAGGAGAGGGGCCAGTGGTTTCATCTTTAATGGCCACCTGTAAGCGTTTACGACCTCAGATGCTGTTCATCGAGCTAGGATGTACATAAACATGGTCCCCAGGAGCTGGGTTACAGCGTTGACCGAGCTATCCCCACAGACTGCGGGGCTTAGTCTTCCAGCCCGTTAACTGGATCCCCCAGGTGTTTTACTACGTCTGAGAAATCTCCTTAACAGCCCTCTACTTCATCTCCTACAAAGCTGCTTCTTAAACTGTGGCCAACTGAATGTAGGGGGTCGTGAAAACTTTGGCAGCAATGAAAAGTTTCTGAAATTGGAACGATCAAAAAGTAATTCAAAGTCCAACAGGTCAGGAATCAAGTGTTTCTGGCGGTGCTCGCCTGTGCTGCGAATTTCTTGAGTAGAAAGGCATTAGGAGTAGAAACCGTTGGAAGAAGCCTGGCCTCTGTCACATATGAAGGGGCTTCAAAAGATTTGTGGAAAATGGACTTATGATACATATATATATTTATGTGTATGGTGGGACAATGAACATTCTGAGAGAATCCAGCCATAATTTCCACTGTATGATAGAAGATATGCAAATTTTCTTTACCAACTTTTTTCCCCACAATCCATGCATACATCAATGTGTAAAGCACATTTGTACATTCATTGCCCTCATCATTCTCAAAACATTTGCTCTCCACTTAAGCCCCCGGCATTAGGTCCTCATTTTTCCCCTCCCTCTCTGCTACCCCCTCCCTCATGAGCCCTTGATAATTTATAAATTATTATTTTGTCATATCTTGCCCTGTCCGACATCTCCCTTCACCCACTTTTCTGTTGTCTGTTCCCCTGTGAGGGGGTTATATGTAGATTGTTGTGATCAGTTTCCCCTTTCTCCCCACACCTTCCCCTTACTTACCCTGTTGGTATCTCTGTTCTCATTGTTGGTCCTGAGGGGTTTATCTGCTCTGGATTCCCTGTGTTGCAAGCTGTTACCTGTAGCAGTGTACATTCTCTGGTCTAGCCAGGTTTGTAAGGTAGAATTGAGGTCATGATAGTAGAGGGGAAGGAAGCATTAAAGAACTAGAGGAAAGTTGTATGTTTCTTTGGTGCTATACTGGCTCCTTTCTTCCTTGTGACCCTTCTGTAAGGTGATGTCCAAGTGTCTACAGATGGACTTTGGGTCTCCACTCTGTGCCTCCACCCCCACCCCCATTCACATAGGTATGATTTTTTGTTCTGGGCCTTTGATGCCTGATACCTGATCCCATTAACACCTCATGATCACACAGGCTGGTGTGCTTCTTCCATGTGGTGCTTGGTTGCTTCTCAGCTAGATGACCGCTTGTTTACCTTCAAGCCTTTAAGACCTCAGACACTGTGTCTTTTGATAGCCGGGCTCCATCAGCTTTCTCTACCACATTTGCTATACATCCATTTTGTCTTCAGCAGTCGTGTCAGGGAAGGTGAGCATCATGGAATGCCACGTTGTTAGAATAAAGAGTTCTTGTGTTGAGGGAAGACTTGAGGAGAGAGGCCCAATGTTTGTCTGCTACCTTAATACTAAACCTATAAATATATGTACATAGATCTATTTCCCTATCATTACATATAAATATATTTACCTATGTACATGCCTGTATTTAGACCTTTATAAATGTTCTTTGTCTCCTAGTTCTTTCCTCTATTTCCTTTTACTTTCCTCTTGTTGCACTATTATGTTCGACCTTCATTCGGGTTTTAGTAATTCCTCTCAGCTATACTGCCCTTGATCAAGCCCCACGAGGCATCCTATACCTTCTTTGCCATTGATTTTTAGATCACTTGTTGTTCCCTTGTCCCTGGGTTGGTTGACACCCTCCTTCCTTTCCCCCACCTCCCCTTCTCCCGAGTCCCCGCGGAACTGTTGGTTCTGTTGTCTTCTCCTCTGCATTATTTACTCTGCCTATCTTATCTAGATAGACATGCAGTGAGTGATAAGCACAAATACAAGACAGAGCAAAACAAGACAATAAAAAGAAAATAAAACAACAACAAAAACAACAAAAAAGAATAGCTCCAGGTCTGTTTGTTGACATTTAGGAATGTTTTCCAGTGGAGTCTGATGGGGTGCCGTGCCCTGGCCCCAAAGACTATTTTTGGTATTTCCTGGGGAGTTCCTTGCTCTGCTCCCCTTGCTGCTCTGTTGCACGCCCTTAGTGTTTTGCCCCAGTGTGGTGGGGTCAGATTGGTCACAATTCCCGCACTGTGTCTCCAGTGTTGTCCCCTGTAGCACTGTGGGTCAGTCAGGGACGTTGTGTCTGTGTCTCATGGTGAGGCCGGCCCTATGGTGCTCTGTGCTGCTCTGAGCAGTCCTTGGGGCTTGGTGGGCCAGAATGTGCTCCACCATCTCTCCTTCCCTTTTTGTTTGCTCCTGTGTGCTCTGATCAGACGTGCTCCTCTCCCTGAGCTGGAGCTTCAGTGCTGTCCTCTGAAGTGCATTCTTGGGGTGTGTGTGTGGCGGGGGGCAGTTCATGTGGTTGGGATTGAGGCTGGCCCCGCAACTTAATTTGTTTTAATCTGTGCCATTTTTCAGGGGTGAGATGGTATCTTGTTTTAGTTTTGATTGGCATCTCTCTAACAACTAATGAGGGAACTCCTTTATAAATCTCTCCAAAGAGCTACCATAACCACAAGACCAGCCATTCAAAATCCCCAGCTGACCCCATGGGACAAAGATGAGACGTTTTACTCCTGTAAGGATTCACAGGTTCCGAAACCCACAAGGGCAGTTCTATTCAATCCAATGTTGTCGGGTCAAAATTGACTCAATGGCAGTGAGTGGTTTAGGGCGTTGAAGGGCTAATAATCACGAACATCTTCTCATGTATTTGCCAGCCACCTGAATGGTTTCTTTGGTGATTTGTCTGTTCATGTTCTTTGTTCATTTGGGGGGTTGGATTGTTTGTCTTTTTGTTGTTGGGGTGTTGAAAATTTCTATGTATTTTAGAGATTAGTCCCTTGTTTGATATTTGGTTGCCATTTCTTGCCTACCCCCTACCCACCAATCTTTAGATTCTCTTACTACTCTGTTGGTGAAGTCTTTTGATGAGCATAATTATGTATTTAATTTTAACGAGTCCCAGTTATCTAGCTTATCTTCTGTTGTTTATGTATTTTAAGTTATGTCTGCTAGTGTATTTATACTATCTATTAGGATCCTTAGCTTTGTCTCTATGTTACTTTATATAGATATATTTTCATATACCCGAGGAGGCTTCAAAAGCAAGTAGAAAAATGAAATTAAAAGACCATGGAATTTTTGTACCACATTTTTTAGCCTCCTCGTAATGACATATTACAGATTCATATTATAGTCTAACAGAATTCAGGCAGGTTCAAAGGCTGCTAAAGTACCTTTACTATGAAATATTTGAAACACATGCCAAAGTAGTAGCATAAATTCTTCCTTATGTACCCATCATCAGTCTGCAAACCAGCCTCCACACTTAAGTATTTTCAGGCAAATCCCTGACATGTTATCACTTTATCTCTGAGTATTTCAGTATGTAATTATAAAAGATAGATTCCTTTTAATATACCTGTAGTCCCATTTGCATACCCAGAACATAGAAAATGATTTCTTTAAAATATTTTTTTATTCTAACAGCTTTATTGATGCTTCTTCGTATCACACAATCCAATCGTTTGAAAGTAATTTCTTATGTCTGACTCCTGGCCGTATTTTCCGTAGTGCCTTCGGTTCAGGACACACTGCTGTCGGTTGGCTTGCAGCAGGTTGTTGCCTTGTGTGCGTGGTGATGTCAGCTCTCCTAGCCTTTCCTTTCATCGTGGGCGGCAAGGGTGACGTTCTTCTGCCGCTTTATGATTTCTAACTCATTTATCAGCTGGCATAACTTCGCAAAAGTTTCGTAATACACTTTTTAAAATGTGATACGAGCACCTATTTTTAGTGTGATTCTGTAAGTCAATGGTAAGATATAAATAAATGTTCCTAAAGTGGAAATGCTGAATTTGAAATGTCTCCTGGTGCCTGAATAGGTTCCTTGTGTCTAAACACCAGATTCAGAAAGCCTACCAAGGAAGGCTCGGAGTTCTGATTTCACTCTGAGTCGGAGTTCTGTTACGCAGGACTGACCTACTGGTGCTAGCTGTAACGTGATGCGTTGATAATCCCATCTTTTCCCAGGAACACGGGGGCATTATGTCACTGACAGAGGTCTACTGCCTAGTAAACCGTGCTCGAGGGATGGAGGTAAGTATGCTTTTAACTTAAAAAAAGACACTTTTAACTCAAAATATTTTCATTAAAAAAATTTTAAGTAAAAATACTTTTAATTAAAAAAATAGATTTTCTTGATATTTACTGTATATACTTGGGTATAAGCTGAATTTTTCAGCACGTTTCTAATGCAATTTTTGTGGTAAAATTAGGTCGGATATTCGCGTTGGCTTATACTCGAGTAGTATAGTATATGTTAAACTATATAGTTACATAATTACATGACAATATGAAATATAAGAGATAGCATATGTTTAATGTATATAATTTAAATGTTCAGTTAAATTATATAATTACATACATTATGTCATCTATATATATAATTATATAATTTGTATTTAATATATAACTATACGTTAAATTATACATAATTATATAATTTATATGATTCTATGATATAGACATATAATTAACTGAACATTTATATAAAATAATACTTTTAAAGATCTTACATCTAAAATTTTAGAATTTTAGATTAAAAATAGACTTTGAACTTAAAAGTAGACTTTCTTGATCCAACACAAGTTCCCCAAGAGCAGTGGTTCTCAACCTCCCTAATGCCATGACCCTTTAATACAGTTCCTCACATTGTGGTGACCCCCAACCATCGGAAATAGTGTTTTCCTATGGTCTCAGGCGACCCCTATGAAAGGGTTGTTTGACCCCCAAAGGGGTTGCCACCCACAGGTTGAGAACTGCTGCCCGAGAATGAATACAAGTTGAGGGGGGAATGCGAATACCAAAGCTATTCAGAGAAGTGGGGTGGTGCAGTGACCCAGACACCGCCCTGGCCGCAGGGCGTCTCCCCAGGGATTTTCTGCATGACCTGGAGCAGCTTGCTTCGCTTCCCTGGACTCAGGAATCGCCTGCCTTTCCCGGCAGGCTCAGGCCCTCGTAGAGCTAATGCTCTGTGATTGTGTTGCGATGAGTGGAGGTGGGCACAAGGCCCTCTCTCCGTCACGGTCAAATGCACACGGAGTCGACTCACTTGGACACACGTTGGCGCCTGCTTCCTTGGCTTTGTATCAGCAGTGACCATCCTTCAACTCTCCTCATCCCTACATGCCCACTACCCTTGGCTGCCCAGGTCCTGCCGAGGTGCTTTTTGTGCCTGGGCAGCCACGCACATTGTGTGTGTCAGCAGTCACCTCCTGGCAGGTAACTCAGGCTTTCCCAAATGTCCACACCCCTGCGTTCCGCCTCCACTCCGTGTTGTCACTTGAGTGGACACAGTAGCTGGGTGAGGGAGTAGGCACTCTGCCAGGCGCACTGCCAAGCGTATTATCTCAGCGACTCAGAGAGGCCTTGTCCCCACGAGGGCTAATTTGAGGAAACAGATTGAGAAAGATTGAGTAATGCCCAAGGCCCCACCAGGAGACAGTTTAGACAAGGATCCTGACCTGGGCAGGGCTGGCCGGGAGCTGTGGCTTGGGACTCTCACGTCAGAGTGGCTCTCAGGTGGCTCTGTTCTGACGGAGCCCTGGCATACCTCCAGCGGAGTTTCAGGTTGCGCTGGCTGGCCTGAATTGCATCTCCGGAATCCACACCCACCCAGAACCTCAGCAGGAGCCCTTGTTCGGAAAAGAGGGTCTCTCTGCAGGTGTACGTGGTTCCGGGTGGCGAGATCACATTGGTGTCCTTTCAGAAAGAGACACAAAGCAGGAGAATGCGGTGGGTGACGGAGGCAGAGATGGGAGCGAGGCATCGATAAGCTAAGGAACGCCACGGATTGCCAAGAAGCACCAGAAGTTAGGGATAGGCAAGGAAAGACTCACCCCTGCTTCCTGCAGAAGGAACGCGGGCCTGCTGGCACCTTGTCTTGGACTGTGGCTTCCAGGACTGAGAGAGAACACGCTCCTGTGCTCTCCAGCCCCTTCGCTTGTGGCCGCAGGAGCGCGAACACGCTCTTCGCCCCCAAGCCTGCTCTTCTTCCAGGCCCGCTTTCCTCCTCCTCTTGCTCTTGAAATTCTCCCCACCAGTCCCTCTTCTCCAGTGAATCTTATACCGCCGTCAGCAAAGTTGAAATCTCACTAATTCCAATCCAGATGTGCTGCACTAGATTTAAGAGACTTCATCAATTAAAAAAATAATAAGAATTATTATATATTGGATTGGTGCTATTTGGGGTCAACTGGGTTACATTATTAAATTATATGTCTGTTCAGGGAATATCTGGCAGCATACGAGTCCATGGTCCCATAAGATTATAATCAAGTTCAGCAATCCCAATTGGAGAATGGGACACAGTGGACATAACTAGCTGGACATGGTGAACACAACAGCGTCCCACGTGTGTCTCATGTCTTTCATACAGAGCCGTTGACTGCCAGATATATGATGGTACAGTCCAGATAGAACCTATGCTACGTATGTCTCGATAGATGGAATAAATGCCGGTGACTGGCATGTGGATGTTCTGCTCTATACTTTCTGTCATTATTTTAAGGTGAACAAATAAAACAGTTACTGTGGGCAGCAGCTTCCAGTCTTGTGTGAATCACCCCTCTCTCGAGCATTTGCATGTTGCCTGTTACGATCTGTAGGAAATACTGCGGGGAAGTTCTTCGTGGCTCCCAGTGCAGCAAAACCAGTGCTGGGGAGAGCAGGCCCGGGGGGATTTGGCTGTAAAACAGAAGGTTATTAATCACCATGCTGTTGCTCTCTAAGGAGGAGCCCTGGTGGGGTAGTGGGTTACACATTGGCTGCTAATCTAAGGTCAGCAGTTTGAAACTACCAGTCACTGCACAGGAGAAAGATGGGTCTCTCTACTCTTGTCAAGATGTACAGTCTCGAAAGCCCATGGAGGCAGTTCTGCTCTGTCCTGTAGGGTCACTGTGAGTCAGAATCCACTCCTTTGCAGGGAGAGAGAACAATTGCTCTGCACGAGGGCGCTTCAGAAAGGTAGTGGAAAAATCCCACTATCTTTTCATTCTGTTTTCCCCCAAACTTGCAAAGGCCTGTGGTATAGCTGGGCTGCGCATTGAGGTGCTAACCAGACGGTCAGCAGTCTGAAGTCACCAGCTGCTCTGTGGGAGGCGGGAGGGGTAGTCTTGGAAACCCGCAGGGCTGCCCTCCTTTGTCCTCTAAGGTCTCTATGAATCGGAATCAACTCAGTGGCAATGAGTTTAGTTTTTTGAATTTGTATTTCTATGTCCCAATCAAATAACATCCTCTTTTGTAGGATATATTCATAAGTGTTAGTGATGCATAACTATATATAAATATACACACACATATGTATCTGTTTTTATTTTCTGATGTAGTTGCTAGAAAGTTTTAATAAAAGCCATATGTGGCTAGCGTAATATAACATAGTCTTACTTCTGTAAGAGAGTGTTGCTTTAATTAATGAAGCCCTTTGCTGCTTTGTTAATCCTTTCTGCCTGGTGGTGACTGAGCCATCTAAAATCCTTGATGGGTGGTAATATTTTGATCGCCGCTCTGTTTCCTTGCTGATTAGAGTTACATAGCATCTGTCTATGCGTTTGCATCCAAACTGGCTTTTTCTCCCCATTAGTTGCTCTCACCTGAAGATTTAGTGAATGCCTGCAAGATGCTGGATGCCCTGAAACTACCTCTCAGGTAAAGGAACCTCCGTGGAATGTGTGCTGGCTGTTACCACCGTTCTGCGCAGGGTAGAGAGTGCAGCCCACCAGGTCTGCTGTCCTGTGTGCTGAGCTCAGAGATTGCCCTGTTGTAATACATTCTTTGTGTGGCCACCTGACACTATTGTTCTAGCTTCCACCATCAGCAGAGGCAGGTGTCGGGGCTAGAAGTTGGGCCTAGTTGATTTGGGCACTTAGCTGAGAATGTGGTCTCCTGCCTGGAGGTCAGAATGATCAGCCTTCTTCTTCTGCACATTTGATAGTCAGGGAGAAGCCCCGGCGTTGATGTAATGGGTTATGTGTCGGGCTGCTAGCCTAAAGGTCGGCAGTTCAAAACCACAAGCCAGCCACTCCTTGGGAGACAGTTGAGGCTTTCTGCCCCCGTACATGACTACAGGAATCCACAGGGGCGGTTCTACTGTGCTCTGCAGGCGACTCAATGGAATAGCAATGAGTAGCAGTGGAAGGCTGCAGCTCATTCACTGCTGGCCCTCCCCTCTGCATTTCAGGCTCCGAGTCTTTGATAGTGGAGTCATGGTGATTGAGCTTCAGTCGCACAAGGAAGAGGAAATGGTGGCCTCAGCCCTGGAGACGGTAGGTGACTCAATTTCCGCCAGTCATTAGAGCCATCCATGAAGACTTAAATGCTGAGAACAGGATTTCCTTTTGAACTGAGCTTTCCTTAACAAGTCCTATTCCACACTCAAAAATGGCTTATGAATAATAAATATTTATCAGTTATTATGCCTTAAAAGGTCTTTTGAAATTCTTCTATATTGACATGTCTTTAAATTAAATACGTATAATGTGTCTTTATTGTAAAATGTAACATAGCTTCTATTAGAATTTGATATATGCTCCTTTTTAGATATGGGATATTTCTTTTTAAGAGTCGTCATCATTGTTGTGTTGTTAGGTTTAGTGAATGGATTTTTGAACTCAAATCAATTCAGTGTGACATAGTAGACTTGCCTGAAGGGTTTATAATCTTACAATCTTTGTAAGGACAGATATCACTAAGTCATTTCCTTCAGAGACGTGCCGGTGGTGCCAACCACTGATGGTGCCTGGCAGCCTAGTGCTTAACCATGGTGCAACCGGTACTTCCCTTTAAGCTCTAAGTATAGTGCATCTCGGGAGTCCTCAGGCACAGCGGACTGGCTGCTAACTGAAAGGATGGTGGCTGTAACCCACCTGCTGTTCCGTGGAAGAAAGGTGTGGCCACTTGTTTCAATGAAGGGTCCAACCTTGGAAACCCTGAGGGGTGGTTCTGCTCTGTCCAGCAGGATCAGTCCGTCGGAATGACTCGAGGGCAACTTGTTTATATTGCATTTAATGAATTATAGAGGCATTTATCTTACTGCCTTCTTTCCGTTGTCTTGTTCCCGAGTCTTTCCAATTTTGTCAACTTCAACGTTAGCGAAGAAGGGTTAGTTGTGTGTTGCATGTCCTTTAGAGTTTAGCAGCCGTTTCGGAAGCTTTTATTTCCTAAGTGTACTAGTAGCCGTTCCCTCGGTTGATGTTAGTGCTCACGTGCCCCAAACAGTCACTTTTGTTTTCTCTGCCACGTGTCTGTTAGGTTACAGAAAAGGGATCCTTAACATCGGAAGAGTTTGCCAAGCTTGTGGGGATGTCTGTCCTTCTTGCCAAAGAAAGGTAAACAGGGCCTTGTGTTTCAGACCGTGCCGTGAGCACCTGCGCGTGTGAAAGGGCAGGTCCTGACTCTGGCTTCCTTTTGCCGTCCTCCCTGTGTTTCTAGATTGCTTCTTGCTGAGAAGATGGGCCACCTTTGCCGAGACGACTCCGTGGAAGGGTTGCGGTTTTATCCCAATTTGTTTATGACCCAGGGCTGAGGGTTGTTCGGATTTGGAATCACTCTCATCCATAGATTTACGCCATGGAGAGGCTGTGCACAGAATTGAACGAAGAGCCAAACTTTGAGAAACAGAGAATCCACGGGGCTTTTGCCTTGTTTTATTAAACTCCCTTAATTCCTTTCTAAATGTTATGGACTAGGACTCTTCTAAGGATAACTTATAGGAAAACACAGATACATGAGTGCCAGGGTGGATTTGAACCCATGCTGTGGAGGACTGATGTTGAACTTGCAATCTGGTGGATTGTAACTGGATCCTCAAATCTAACCCTTTTCAAAGGTGGGAATTTAGTTCAGGGGCAGGAAAAAGGAACGCTGATCCTTGAGCAGGTTGGACCATCGCTTTGGGGTGACTAGAATTCCCTGCCTGGTACCTGAGGTCTTCCTCTGGGTCTCATGTCCCCGTTTCCGGGGTCCTCACGGAGCAAGTCCCACCTCAAGCGGAGTTAAGAACTTGGACCGGCACAGCTGGCTGCATCACGTGGAGTTGGACTTCTCCCTTCAGCAGACCAAATAAAGCACCATTTCGGAGGAGAGAGTTTTATTTGGTTTTTGTGTGTATTGTATGACTGACTCTTCCCCCCCCCCCAAGAGATGATTTCATGGCTGGCATTTAAAGAATGCAACTATGTCATTTTGTTTCACAAACGCTGTGGAGTTTGAGCCCGAGGGAAAGAGCCGTCCGGACATGCCCGGAGCTTGGATTACACATCGGGGAGGGAGATAGCCCAGGCGTCCTCTCAGTGTGTTGTGCTGGTGGCGGGGCTGGGACCTCGCGCTCTTGGACCTGGGAGCTGAGGATGGAAAAGCACTGTTTCCTTTTTTACTTCTTGAAGGAATTTGATCACCAAACATGAAAAAAACCCCACCATCTCGGCATCCGAGGTCAACAGTATTTTTCGCTGGGACTTTGCCTTACACGGTATAAGATTGTGTGGAGAAGCTATCTCTCCACCTTTTCACAGGGGTCGCCCAATTCATAACAGTAGCAAAATTATATTTATGAAGTAGCAATGAAAATAATTATATGGTTTTTGGGGGGCGGTCACCACCACATGAGGGACTGTATGAAAGGGTCGCAGCATTAGGTAGACTCAACGGTATCGCCAGGATAACAAAAACTGGCCGGTAGTGGATGCAGCTGGCTTGAGTTCTAAGGTGAGCTTTTCATGTGACAGCAGCCCTACATACAGGCAGATCTGAGCTACCCCAACTTAGGGACCACAGTGGGACAGGAGAGACTCCCATTCCATGATGTGATGGTTCTTGGTTGTGTGCAAAGGGTAGTGCGCCTCGTGACACCATAGAGCTCCTGCCTGTGTTGGAGAACCACGAAGTGTTGGGGTGACGGACCCCTGGGTTCAGGCCTAAGTGAGGTGGAGGGCTACCAGCAGAGGCTGCCACAAACGCCCTCTGAGGAAGTGCCCAGGATCTTCTGCTGCGGGCCCAGGGAACCCCTCCCAGTTAGTCCAAGACCTTCCCTGATCCTCTCAGGGAAAGGTGCAGCCTCACGTCTCCCTGTGGCAGCAGGAATGCTCACTCAGCCTGTGCTTTCCCTTCATTGGTCAAACCTGTCCTGGATGCTTCCTGGAGGGAGCAGATTCCCAGGGCAGAGCCTCAGGTTTGTTTTGGGTAACTCGGCGTCTGCCCGCCCACCTCTTAGCTGGGCCCTTGTGGAAGCTTGCGTGTGTGACTCCTCTCTCTGGGCATCTCTCCTTCCCTTAAACACACATGTACACAAACTGTTAGCCCCTCTGGCTTAGGCTTCAAACAATGACAAAGATAAGGAATCTGCCCCATCTGTGGGAATGAATTTCAAGTAGAGCCATTTGAGCCACTGGAGCTAGCTCTGTTGGTGTGGATTCATCACAGCAAATCCACAGACTATTTTTGTCACGGTTTACGTTAGTGCAAACAGATGCACAGAATGGCACTGCCAATTGTGTGACGTGAGCTACAGAAGAAGAGGGACAGGAGTATCGTTCGCAAAGGTCCTTCATTAAAAACTCAACTATTTATTGTTCTGTTTTATTTTATTTTGAAAATGAGCATTCTCCACTGTTTCCGAGCCTCGGTCTGTATTTTTAGCCTTCCCTCACTCCCCAAAGAAAATCCTTTGTTCCTACTTTGATAGAGGTTATGTTTAAGCCCAACCAGTCAGGCCCTCAGTGCAAAAAAAACAAAAAGAAGAAAGTTCTGTCCTGGTGCTTATTGCTAGTTTGATTTTTATTCCCACTCTTCTCTCTTCGCTCCTCTGCTCATCTGTCTATTTTTACCTTATGGCAACGGAGCATGTATAGTACTTATTGTCAAGAAAAAAGGTTTCAGCATTGTGTAAGTAAAGATTGTTTTCAGAGTGAAACAGCTGGTATGTATGTATGTATGTATGTACGTATGCATGTATGTGAGGGTGCTTCCAAAAGTTCATAGAATAATGGGATCAGAAGACAGTGGAATTTTCCCAGTAATTGTGTGAAGTCCCATCGTATGTGAGGGTGACTCCAAAAGGTTGGCCCTGGGGCTCCAGTTTGTGTTATGCGAGGGGCAAACGTGGCTCTGCCATCCGTGGATGGCTGGCCGCAGACAGGTTCCCTCTGCAATCCACTTGTCTTAGTCCTGTTAGGGTGCCTTCCAACAGAAGGTCCCAGCAGAACAGTGGTTTCCAAGGGGATCTGCCGGGCCGTTTAAGTTCCAGGCAGAGGGGCCAGCTGAGAAGGCTAGGGCAACTCTTTCCCAAGACTCCAGAGGGTTATTCTTGGTAGATTTTCTGAAAGGTTACAGGAAGCCTACACGGGCTTTTTATGAAGACGTGTTAAGCAAACGGAAAGCTGCATTGGTGAGGAAAAGGCCAGCAGAGTTGGTGCTGAGAAATCCTTTCCCATCCAGCAAGGCACCTGCTCTTTTTCTGAAGGTAGCCGGACTGGTCTTTGAGAATTTCATTGGGGAACCTTACCCCATCCACTCTACAACCCCGATCCTTGCCCCTCCAGACTTCTTTTTGTTCTGTAAACTCAAAATTTCAAAGGAACACAATTTGCATGCCTTGCCGGGGCGGGAGTGTTGTTTCACTGTGGTGTAAGTTGAAGAGCGCACATTCTTCTGGGAAGCAATAGACAGACCACCACCTTCAGAAATGTGTAGACCCAAATGGAGGAGGTGTCCAGAAACCAGACCCTTTTTAGATTTCTGTTTAATAAAGGTTCTGACACTTTTGTAGCAATACTTTTTTTTTTTTAACATTTTATTAGGGGCTCATATGTAGCAATACCTTTTGACTTAGCCCTGAATATATAGTAAACTTAGTATAAAATTGAACATGATTGTTCCTGGTATTCTTTCTAAATGTTCTAAACAATCAACCTCAAAGTGAGATTGGGTCAGTATGCAAAGAGGTTTTGTCTTAAAGACTTGATAATCAAGAATGGATTATAAATATACCCGACATCAAGTTCTTACAGTTGTATTTATCTGAAAAGAACAGAAGCTGGCTCAAGACCACTTTTAAAATTCTTGACGTGAACCCCACTGTTGGTTGACCAAGGGGGACCACATGTGTGGAGGTGCTTTCTCTTGTCCTCCGTGTGCTACCAGCCAGCTCACCCCAGAATTTGGATTCATCATAGAGCAGCATTCTCATGCTCAATTAAGTTCCCCATCACCCAACATTCTCTATTGAGTAGAGTGGAGAGTCACAACTTACAGCGTGGCTAGGTTACAAAGACAGTGCCTAAGGATTAAATCAAGTCCAGGGTCAACATGATCTTTGAAAAGTTTTTAAAATTTCCAACAAAGCTCAATGTACATAGTCTTGTGATGATCATTGCCTTTGTGGAGTGTAATGCGGGTATAAATACCCCAACAACTACTTATCAACAGTAGACTTTTATAACATAATTAAACTATATCAACCTATATATATATTCTGCCCTCCACCCCCCATAGGTCCAAAAATATCTGTGTTAATTCTTTGCTAACCCATTCCTTCAGATGGGTCTAGAATGTAAGCTCTGGAGGGCAGGGGCTGCAGTTTTTATCCAGGTTGTTCATGACTAGATCCTTAGGGCCTGGCACAGGGCCTGGCACACACTGGCCTTCAGGAAGTGTTTACTGAATGAACTCTCATCCAAATACTATGACATTTTTAAGATCTGTAGACTTCACGTGAGGAACTGTGCGGGCGATTGGTGAACTCTGAAGGTAATTAAGAAGCTTATGCCCTTGACGGGAGGGGAGCCAGTTGGGGAGAGAAATGTGTCACAGAAGGGGTCTGAGTGACATGTGGAGGGCAGAGGAAGATCACATGGGGGGATCTGGAAAGGCGATGTGAGAGAAGAGCCTCGTGAGCTAGACTCAAGGACCAATAGACTGTCAGTAGGCAGAAAGCCATTATGTCATGAATTGACCAGGCACGCCTGCAGCTGCCCGTCACCCTCTTCCAAGAGGTTTCTGGAACCGGACTTGCCATGGGTCCATGTATGCAACTTCCATGATATCCATGAGGTCGGAAGCAACTCCAGAAAAGTCAGGTTACACACAAGTAAGAACCTGTTACTACAAGCTGTTATTACAGTGAAAATTGGGTCAATCAGGTTCTTCCTTGTACTCTAATACTCATGAGTCAGTTTTCTACTTACCAAATCCCCATTTGGGTAATGGGAATTATTGAGACAATGTGTGAGTTTCGCACAGGATAACTAGACCAGACGCTGACCCAGCTTAGTTTTAGTTGAATACTGACAAGGCCACGTGTAATCAAGGTACCACTGGAAACTTTTTTCTTCATTCTTAAATGGCCTCTGAGAAAAGAGACTGTATCGTAATGGCTTAACACATAGTAATGCAGTTTGGCAAGCACTCCAATTTAGACAAAAATGACCAAGCATCTCAATAAAGATATTACTTCAAAAACTCACAAAGCATGCTGATTCATTCCCTTTCTACCTGGTTTTAAGTCCTGCCAGCTCTCTAGAGGAGCTTCCTGGGCAGTGCCTGTATGAAGGATTAAAGTGATACAGTACTTTTTTATAGTGGAAGTAATCACCACTGCTATCAAGCCAATGCTGATGCTTATCCAGCCTATAATACAAAGCAGAACTCCCCTTTTGAGTTGCCAGGGTTGTAAATCTTTCTACCAGGGCCTCATCTTTCTCCCAAGGAGCACCTGGTGGGTTTGAACTGCTGACCTTGCACTCAGCAGTCCAACACATAACCGACTGTGTCACGAAGACTCACAGTGAAGAGACCAAAAACCAAAAAACTAGCTCACTGCCATCGAGGAGATGCTGACAATTTGCCCTTGGCTATAGAGTCAGTGCGAGATTTAAACTCAGATAATATCTAACTTGGTCAGGCCGGGTTGACTAGAGAAACAAATCCAGTGACACTCGTATAAGAAAGAGCTTTATATCAAGGTAATTACACATCAAGAAACAATCCCAGCGGAGTCGACTCAAGTCCATAAGTTGGATACTGATCCGCTAGTCCCTCTTCAGACTCACGCCGCCACATGCAGTGATGCAGAATGCAAGATCACA